CTGCCAGTGCTTTTGATTCAGCCAGACCAGGCTGCTTGGAACAGTGGTTGGCAAGGTGCTCCCTGGATGTGCAAAGAGAATGCTCAGAGCTGAATGTGCTGTTCATGAGTACTTGCATATCTGGACAGGAGTATTTTCTATATGTCAAAATTAAAACATTAATGACAGCATCCCTCAATGTTAAGAAACAAACACAAAAGACAAGTCAGCCATAAGACGGTTTAAAAAACAAACATATAAAACCAAAAACCAAAATTATTCTGCAATCAGCCACTGTCCGATGTGTATTTTGAAGTGCAGAATTTAATCAACGCTCAGAAATGCATATGCAGAAATAAAGCTCCCTGAATCTGTAAGAATGGTTGAATATGGACTAGGGGTTACTTTCACACAGGATTTAAATTTAGGTAGAAATCTGAACATTCAAGTTCCACAGGTACAGCATTGCTACCACTGTATCTTCAACTGCTGACTGCTGCCATAGGCAGCCTCTTATGTCCATTGGGGGGAATTAAAAAATGATTTTTTTTATTCACTCTGAGGAATTTTTTTTTCCCCTTTTACCTATGAAGCTTTTTTTCAATTACTGTGAGAGCAAATTCTTACTTCAGCTTATTGACTCACAGAGCTGACCATAAAGCATTTTAATGACAGCATTTTACTTAAAACGAAGGTCTAGATATGCCAACTAAAGTTTACAGAAACTGGTGTAATTAAAGGAAAAACCTTCATGTTTTCAGAGTCTTAATAAATGCAACCTCCTTCTCCAGTCTGCTTCTGCTATCATCCCTGGCTACGGACAAAGTTTTTACTTAAGTTTCATTGCCACATAAGTAGGATGCAATAGGAAATGAAACTCCGTGCTGAGTTGTGGAATAATATATTTATATAATTTGTGCTATGTACTGATCTTAGTATTCTGTTCTGTCACTCGCCCCACCTCATGCCCTAGAAGAGGTACTGAGGAAAGGCCTAAAACATTAGGGCACCAACAGTAATTCTGTATGCATGCTTAGTCAGTCTTATTGAAGACTTTATGAAGTAACAGGGAAATAGGTATTGCCTCATCATCCCCTCAGGCTGAACCACAGAATGAGACTTTGCTTTGAAGTTAAGCTTGGCACAGCTCTAACAGTAGCAGTGCAGTTTCTCACATCCTAAACTGCAGAGCTATTCTAGCAAAACTTTAACAGTTTCCAGAGCAGGAAAGAAAAAAAAAAAAAAAAGGGGGGGGGGGGGGGGGGGGGGAGGGGAAGGGTGTGTGTATGAGTTGGGAACACCCTTACAGAACAGAGCCTGCCAAAGGAGATATCAGTAAAGGAAAACAAGGGAAATAGTAGAACCCACTTATCACTATCCCAAATAAGTCCTATCTGCTGTTTGTCTATTACTCCCTCAGCTCTTTACTTCACAACCACGAGCTCTCAGACACAAAAGAAAGGAAAGAAAGTATCAGAAGAGGAAGAAAAAAGAGAAAACAAAAAGCTGAATTGCACAAAGATCAAGGCTTACTTGTTGCCTGCATGTATTCATATTCCATGTTGAAATGTTGCCTGTTTAAGCGAACAATGTGAAAACTAGAAGATCTGATCACATTTGTCCCCTCTAGGGAAATCAATCAAAATACCAATATTACACACATTTACATTTCTGTTAAGCAGTAAAAATCTGGAATTAATCAAATCAAAGATTTTCACTAATACTTCATAAATGGGACCAAAGACAGGAAATTAGAGGATATTTTCTTTGACATGTGGAGGTTTTTAAGCACTAAATACTTAGACCCACTTTTAAATCTTAAATTAATCTCCGGAAGTTAATAGAAATGCCCAAATACTCCATCTCCCATCTACTATCCAATTTCTTTTTTCCCTGGTTCTGATAACATCCAGTACATCTATAAGCTGTTCTCATGCCTCTAGTAGCACTAGTTAGTGCTTTTCCTTGCTTCCCCTCTTCCACTGATTTCCATTTACCCTAAGAAGTCATTCATCTCTAAATTTCTAAATGTAAAGAGGAATTATTTCTGCACAGAAAATTACTACAATTGCACTCTTGCAAGCAGTTTAACACAAGTTCTTCTACTTGAGAAAGATAGGAAGTCTGCTTTCATCAGTTTCCTGATAAGCACAGAAATATTAAACTGTCACAGTTGAGCTGATGGAATAAAAGTGCAACTGATCCCAAAAGTGAAAGAATAGCATGACTCTCAGAATTACTATAAAATACTATTATATTTTTTGTATCTCTTTCCTACTTCTTGCCTGAAACAACCACAAAGTGATAAAGTATTTTTCAGTAAAGAATATAAACTCTCCCAAGCGGAGCAATAGGAATCTCTCTGCTATAATTGGAAACTTGTAACTTACACTTCAGTATAATCCCTCATCCATCTCCCCTGTGCAGTTTGGTTTTTTTTGTTGTTGTTGTTAATTTTAAGCCAAATTTAACATAACTGAGAAAGAATTCCTTTCCCTCCACAAAACTTGCACTTCGGGTTTAGTTGCAATGAGCAGCACTTAGGCCAGCAGCACTTTAGCAGAAGCATTTATCAAGTGTGAAGTACAGTTCAGGGTTGCTGACTAATCTGATCGCACCAGCCCTTCCTGGCTCTTGTCCCAGCCATTAGAATCTCTCTCATTTCTTTTCCATCTCTGCAGATTGCACGCAGCTGTCAAGTCACCCTAGCACTCAAAGTCTGCTTTTCTTGCCTCTCCTCACCTGTGCATCATACCTACACGGTGTCTGAGCCCTGATGCTTCTTACTTTTGAGCTCCAAGTAGGGATTTTTTTGACCCTACTCAAAAGACTTAATGCTGATCCCCCCCATCCCTCAACACTTTCCATCACATTCACCTGCAAGTTGAGACATGCATCCTTGATGGTCCTGACTTCAGAGCACACCTACAGATCCTATCATTCTGTCTCCATACAGATTCCTCTTGGACTTAGTGTTCTGCCACATTCTTTAACAGAGTCTAACGTTCCTATTATTCCCATTTCCTGAACCGTAGGGGGATTCTTCCTGAAGGATGAACTGCTTCTGTCCTCAGGGAAGAGGGAAGATAGTAATTCCCCCTTCTCTGTTCTCAGGGGACAGTAATGATAAGCATCTGATAAGTCTGCAACAGCACTGCTTGTTTCCATAGCACACTTTTTTTCCTACACAATAAATGTTTAAAGACATTGGTTTCTCAGTTTGGTTATAATTTATAAGTAGTGGTTAACATCTAAAAATAATTCAAGTAAAGAGGATTTCAGAGATTCAATCAGTGAGATAAGTTACAAGCTTCAATATGGAGAAGATTTATTTCTTCAACATGAGATTACTCTTAAAATTGATTAAAACAGAGCTTAAGAGAATTTCTTAAAGTGATACCATCTAGTAGCCAGATTTAATACTGTATCTTCAAGTCAGTCTTGAATGAACAAGCAATTTTTTTATTTATTTTTTTTATTTATTTTTAATAAATCAAATCCAGATTTTGCAGGTCAGTTTTGTAATTATGAAGTATAGTTATGTTATTCAGTTCCATCCAAAGAAGAGCTCATTCTCTGGAATGACCTTTTCTGCATTATGATGGTTTGTGTTTGTCAGCTGGTATTGCTAGGTTCACATTCAGCTTTATTCAGTTTCTGTACTCACACATATGGTCCTATGACACATTCATTCTTCCCCATGCTTTGCTTTCCTCATTTCTTTTCACGCTATAACCAAACAGAAGTACTAGAAACACGTTTTTGAATCATGTATTTATCATTATGTTATCAGTGAATCAAACTCATGTCTGAAGGTCATTTTTAAAGGAATTTCAGGTAGATTTCCTAGTTAGTGCTAAAGTTGAGATTTTCACACACAGTTCTCACTAAATACAAAATGAATAAACTGAGAGAGAAGTGTTCCAATATGTAGCATTTTTCACAGCGATTTCAAATTTAATAAAAATACATGATTTACAAGATGTTCACACAAGACAGGAAAGCAGAAAAGCCTCAATGAGTTAAAAATCTGATACTACTGTCAAAACAATAGAAATGCAGTACTGATCTCCCAGGTTTATAAATATCTGAGGTGTGGGGGCCATAGTGGTGAGGCCAGTCTCTTTTCAGTGGTACATGGAGACAGGACAAGGGGAAACAGCCATAAGCTGCAGCACAGGAAGTTCTGCACAGATGTGCACAAGAACTTCTTTACGGGGAGGTGACGGAGCACTGGAACAGGCTGCCCAGGGAGGTGGTGGAGTCTCCTTCTCTGGAGATGTTCAAGACTTGCCTGGATGCCTACCTGTGCGACCTGGTGTAGGGAACCTGCTTTGGCAGGGGGTTGGACTCGATGATCTCTGGAGGCCCCTTCCAACCCCTACAATTCTGTGATTCTGTGATTAATGGAGGAACAATCTGAAACCATTGCTGTTGTCTAAGTTGATTATAATATAGAAAAACAAGATTTTAAAATGCACTTTTCCTTAAGATTACATGTAAAAAAAAATGTTAACATATTTTCAACATACATATAGATATTTATATTTTGCATGTATGCGGTTTCTTTTCAGAAGCGATAATAGTCTTTTAAGACTACCTTCTTAAAAACAGCATTTATACTACTGCATGCTTTCATATAGCAATTTTTAATATATATAGCCATAATTAAACCATGCTGTCCAAGTATTCATATTGCACTGCTCACAATTTCTACTGTTTCCAACAAATCAATTGAAGAGCTAGAAAAACAACAAAAAGAAAAGCAAATGGACAAAACAGCAACAAAGACACACAAAGAAGTACCCGAAGAGAGTCAACCAGTTTCAGGAGAGACCATATTTATCAAAAGAAGCACAGTATTACAACACGTTATTACAAGGACAGTATTCTAGAGAAGTCAGATCTCCCAACTTCTTCTTCTCAGAACTATTTATTAAAGGTATACCATATAGGCTACAGGTTTCTCAGGGTTCATTCCTTCTTTTTCCATTCACATAAACATACGAATTGACAAGTACCTTCATAATAGACTGAAGATCTCTTTTGCTTAACAACCAACAGCGAGTCCTAAATAAATTAAAGACATTTCTACGGTATTGGAAAAGTTTTAGCTTTCTTTTTAGCATCTCTTGCAAGCATTCAAAACATAGGCAAGTATTTCTGGCTAAGCAAAACATGATCTTTCTTATCTTAAGACGACCATTAGCAGCCACATGCTTATCTAACTGTAAAACTCATGTGGGAATTCTGCCAGAAGCTGAAGAGCTACCAGCTACCCCAGTGTAGCACCTTTTCAGAACAGTTGATAGTTCACAAGCAAGAGACACCATCTTGATGCATGTTACTGCAGTTTATTTTTTTGGGTTTTTTTTGTCTGTTTGTTTTGGTTGTGGGTTTTTTTTGTTTTTGTTTTTTGGGGGTTTTTTATTTTTTTGCTGTTTGAAGAGTAATGAATATATGGTCATAAAATAGGAAACATTTGTGTAGAGGATTACTCAGCACAGATTGCTCAGAGGCTGTTTAAAAAAATGAAATATGAGTAATTTCTTCTTATCTACATTGAAGTTGCATCAGTTAAAGTAGAATTGGAACAAATTGTCAGATTTCATGATCTATCAGTCAACAATACAAACAAAAAGACATTTAAAACACAAATGCACCTGGCCCTACATCCAGTACATTGCAGCAATCCTATATTTTCATGCACAGTCTTTTCTTATTTAAAGAAATGTACCCATGCATAGCAGCATGATGCAACAACTTCCTTTGAAATCTTGTGTATTTACATGGTCATTCTGAGGAGATAGTTTGGAAGTATCAGAAACAGTACAGTCAAAATAACGGGACATTGATGTGCAAGAAATAAGAGTAATCAAATAAAGACTAGGGGCCAGGTAGGGAAATTTTTGCCTTTTTCCCCCCGCTAGCAGTGGGCAAAAGTGCATAAGTAATCCAAAAGATGAAACTCCTATGCTGATGCTTTCCTGAAGTAGTTCGCCTGGAAATGTGATGTTTCCTCATAGATAATCAGTAGATGAAGCAAACACTTTCAGAATTAGGTATCAAAGACTTTATCATATCTTGAGCATTTTGCAGAGTCCATTAAATAAATCAATCTAAATCAAGTTGTTAATCCAATCATAGAATGGCCTGGGTTGAAAAGGACCACAACGACCATCTAATTTCAACCCCCCTGCTATGTGCAGGGTCACCAACCACCAGACCAGGCTGCCCAGAGCCACATCCAGCCTGACCTTGAATGCCTGTCATGGTTCTATGTTTTTTTGTTTTTGTTTTTTTGTTTTTGGGTTTCAGTATTCCACATCAAAACATCATGCAGTGTACAGGGCATTAAAGTGTCACTGCCCCAGTCCCAGGTACCTATCCCTGTACATTACAGCAGTCACGGGATCTGGCCCTTCCGGGTGGGGGGGGGG